GAGGCGAGGAGCATCGTTCTTAAGTACTGGCAGAGAGATAGCAAGACTGACAGTGGGAAAGGGCAGCTGACTGTAAGTGTGTGTGTCAGGGTACATTTTCCAGCCAACAAAGTGGCTTTTTAGTCAGATGTTTCATGTTCACGGGAATCGTGGGTGATTTCCAGCCCTTTCTCACTACTTCACCGTTGCAGAAAAGAGGACGTTTGGGTTTTAAACTTTGTCTCACGCGCAGTCAAAAAAACCCTTCAACCATAAGCGTAAGATTCTTGAGTGCTGATAAAGGTAACGGTAATGCTGCCAAAAATAATGTTTTCTAAGAGTGTTTAAAAAAAATCACACCCAAGAGTGCTTTAAATAAATAAATATAATAGGACACAAACTTTTACTTCATCTACTGGAGATTAATAAAGTAAGATCTGGTCGCTGTTGCTTCCAGGCAAGCAGATCATTTATATAAATAGTTTCACTGACTAAAATAAAATCTTACATACACGAATTTACTGGTGTACCAAAGTCTTAAACTGTTTAACTGAACAGAACAGAGGCGTTATTTAAAAAGTTTTCTAGGTAGGAAAAAGGAAAATTATGATTACCGTAAACAGGACGGATAGCTGCTTGATGTGCTCCTGAAGAAGTAGCCGTTTGTGGCCTGTACCTGTCCTGAAGACAAGAGGAAGAAGAAAACGGAATGACAGTCATTCACCCTCCCAATTTCCAACAGTTTTTTTCCCCCCCTTTTTGTTTCCCTTCACCAAAACGCACAGATCTTGGAGTTCTTGGTCAAAGCACTTTTAAACAAGCCCCAGAAGTTACTGAAGGTGGAAGCCTCAGTATCTCCAGTAAGAGAAACACTCCTGTTTCAGGAAAGCGTTGATTTTTGGAAATGCCAGTGATGGTGAGGGTCATTAACATCTGATGCTAATAGCCTTGCGTTACAGTAGTGATTGTGAGTTGTTACTGGGGATTACGCACCGATGATGCCTCGTGTGGACTGCTAAACAGGGTATTGCACTCAGAAAATCGGCTGTCTTCATTCATCGCTTCAGAGGCGATCAAGTAGTTTACAAAACAAACTTACAAGTCACCTGCAGAAAACTGGTTTCTAGACCTTAGAAATGCTTTTCTTCTTCTGATTAATAATGGCATACATTGTAATTGTAGCCTGCCTTATTAAAGCTTTTTGGGCATTTTGAAATAAGGAAAATGTAACTGCCAGAAGGGTACTGGGAGGTGTGCTTATTGCAGGGTTTTCTAGGATTTTTTTGTTGTTGTTTTTTTATATAGGTGGAATGCTTTTGTTAGTCCAGGAGTGGTTGAAATTCTGCGCAGAGGTAAATGGCACAGCACATATTGTGCCAAGACTGAGGTAGAAACGAATTCCTATCTAAAGCAGAAATACTTGTCATCAGTTACTGTTTGACTTCTACAAAATGCCCTAACTGGAAAGGAAAGGAAAACTGTGATTCAGCCTTAAGCATCAGCTCTTTTTCTGAGCTGTTCGCTTCCTGTTGCATGGAGACTTACAGAATTAATACGTGCACCCATCTGAACTAGGAGATTTTGTACTGGAACTACCACTGCTGAGCATTTTTACAGGCCTGTTGGATAGTTTATTCATCTACTTTATTTTCGTAGCATTCTTTTGTAGCCTTTCACTTACTAAATCCAGAAACTTCCAACAGTAATCGGTATCAATGAATAACTTCTTGCTGGTAAGGGACAGAGGAAGACGTTTAATTTCTGGCATACAAATGGACAGATAGAATAATAATTAAAATTTAAAAAGTTAAAAACTGCATCTCCAAGGATGCTTTTCCCTTTACAGCAGACAGGATAGCAACCAGTGCATGCATATGGTGAGGTGTGGATATTTCCTCAGGAACCAGCGAGCCTGGTGCCAGCTTTGCTGTGTCCCCATGCACCTCTCTCAAAACCACGCTCTGACCCACTGGTGGGGTAACCTCTGCCTCCCCACCAACGCCGACACCGCGTGCTCAGCGGTGCGGGGCTCTGGGCGAGAGGGAAGGAAGGTGGCGGTGGCTGCCTGCTTTTTTTCTTCAGATGTTACCCTGGGCTTCAGGGGGAAAGAAAAATCCACCTGGAAGGTTTAGCTCTTGGGAACACAAACTACTGAGCTGCCCCCTCCGCTTGTTATTGATGGCTCAGACAAAAGCAGTAGTGATATCCCAGGCATCGGCTGCTAGGGATTCTCCATGGGATCGGTGTGGAGGAGGCAGATAGAAAACCACAACAGGAGGGGCTTTGGCTGCTTCATGTAAGCCTGCAGAGGTCTGCAGTCATCCCGGGACTAAAGCTGAGGGATGAAGGTGGATCTCTGGCAGAACAGTTCTTGGGAAATGGAATAAAACGTGGCATCTCCTGGCTTGTTTAAAGCGGCTCATGTGTTTATACTGTGTCTAATAGTGGGATGTTACTAAAATGCAGATGAATAATAGAGACGATAATCTTCTGGTTAATAGTAGAAAAAACTTCCTGCTATAGCTGTAACTATATAAACTGAAGTTAGGAATTACTCTTTTAGTGGTATTTTAAACTATTCTTTTTTTGTAGTAGTACAACAGAGTAATCCCTTTTGTTTCTCATAGCGATCATAGAATCATAGAATGTTTTAGGTTGGAAGGGACCCCTAGAGGTCATCTAGTCCAACCCCCTGCAATGAGCAGGGACACCGCTAACTAGATCAGGTTGCTCAGAGCCCCGTCCAATCTGGCCTTGAATGTTTCCAGGGATGGGGCCTCCACCACCTCTCTGGGCAACCCATTCCAGTGTTTCACCACCCTCATTGTAAAGAATTTCTTCCTTATATCCAGTCTAAACCTACCCTGGTTTAGTTTAAAACCATTACCCCTTGTCCTGTCACAGCTGGCCCTACTAAAAAGATTGTCCCCATCTTTCCTGTAGGCCTCCTTTAAGCACTGCAAGGCCGCAATAAGGTCTCCCCGCAGCCTTCTTTTCTCCAGGCTGAACAAGCCCAGCTCAAGAAGCAAATTAAGAAACCCAAGCAGAACTCTGGCAGCTTATAAACATGCTTCTGATCCACTACTTCAATCAAAGGTCTTCAAGCCAAAGCTTTTTTAACGATGTACTTTATTTTGTTATTCAGCTTATTAATAAAAAATTGAATATGGACTTGGACAAGTCCCACATAGGGCTCCACTTGGTAAATCTCATGCATTTGACACCAAATCCTTTATAGCTGCTCTTTGAGTGGGATTTTTTTCTGCTTGTTTGTACACCCAGCGGAGAGGGTTTTTTTCGGTTATTTAGATCATTTTATGGTTATCTGGGTTTATAAATTCTTTTAAGGGCAGGTTTATTTCCTTTCTGTTCTGTTTCATCCCAGGGGAAAGTGGTGGCATTCAGTTTTCAGTGCTGATAAAAACAGCTAGAATTATACATGAAAACGTATCTCACACCTCAGCTGACCTTGTGAAAAATGTGAAATTGAAAGTCATTGGATGCAGCTGTAAGCAAATATTTTGCAATGCAAAAATAAACCAAACCACCCCTTGAAAATTGGAAATTCAGAGTTCAAAACACTCCTCGGACAGCCATTGTAGTCACTGTTTTAAGTGCAAGGGTTGCTGAGAAGTTTGCTTTGCCAGCTGCCGTGGGAGGGAAGGGAAACATGTGGAGGCCTGATAGTAACACTGCAGTTTCCCAGCTCGGGTTCTTTCCCTTGCTGAGATCCTGTTTACTTTGTATGATTGCAGGGTATTCAAAGCATCGTGCTCTGAAGTGCCCTTCTGTGGTCTGGCAGGCTTAGTGGGGGGCATTTACAGTTCCCACGTGCTAAACTGCTGTTCTTATTTTTACTGTATAGAAAACTGAAACTGAAGGCTGGTGGTTCTTTTCCAAGAATAAGATGCAGATGAAGCATCTGCAGTTGCTAATAACTGGAAAATAACAATTCTGAATTTTAGAATTTGTTTGGGTTGGTGGTTTGTTTGGTTGGTTTTACCGTCAGCCTCATTATTGCCCATATACTCTTATTAAACATAGGGTCATCGTCCTTATATCAGTCTTGATTTTATGACCGAGTCTGATTCCTACTAATAGTATTGTTTTAATTTGGTGAACTCCTTACTGCAAGGATCTATAATCCTGTGTCGGCTTTATGGGATGAAGGAAACTAGCAAGAAGTGGCCAAAATGAGAGAACATTTAAATAAAGCAACATTCTTTCTCGTACAATAACATAGTAGAAAATCCAGCAGCAGATGTATGGGGTGACTCTGTTAAGGGGAATTAACTCCTGCTCTTTCCTCAGAAAGCACTGTGGCAGGAAGGTGAACATAAGCTTCTGCATAGATTAAACACTGTCCAACATAGCTTAAATATAGTTTAAAGTTTTGGTTCCTGTGAGTGCAGCTGAGCTGCCGTCGTTACTGGGTCATAAGCACGTGAGCTATTAGCTACACACACTTCCTCTGAAGTTTATCAAGGGAGGTAACGTCAGCTGTAAACTTTCAGGGAGGTAGCTGACTGTGTCCATGCCATCCAGTCTCCCCCTCCACCCTGAACCCAAATGCATTTAAAATGAAGTGCAGTTGTAAGTAGTAAGCAGGAGCATTGTTGCTCATTCTGAGGAGGATGCGTGCTTGCCATGCTTCCTGCCTCGTCTGCTTCCAGCCAGCAATGGCAGAAAACCACAAATCGGGAATCTGTCTAATCGAGAAGCCTGTGTTGGGCATTGTGTGCTCAGCTTACATGGGTGTAGTTTATTGATTAACTTTTAACAGCAAGTGTAAACTATGTCACTACATAATTATTTCTGCTTGTAAGAAAATAGTGCGGAATTTTACTGTATTCGGTGTAGACTGAGGATTTTCCTTACAGCTGTCTTTATTAATGTTGATATCATAGACATCTGTTTGCTGAAGGTATTAGAGACTTGATCCATGTTATTTGTTTGCAGATTTTCTCTCTTCTGGCTTTTATTTGTGAAGAAATTGTGGAGGATTGTATCACGTGTGGTGGACTTTACTTCTTTGAATTCACAAGCTGCAGTGCCTTTTTTTTGAGCCTCCTGATCCTGTGCATGTATTGCACTGATACATATGAAACATTTGGAGAAGATACAGTAAGGAGAGTGGTAAGGACTTTTTTTTTTTTTAAACAAACTCTTCCTTGTAAGTGCTTAAAGACTACTGTGACAAGGCTATGCAGAATGCATCTCCTTTTCTTCTCTATTTAAAGGGTAGATTAAAGTAGCATGTAGTTAAAAAATGAGTCAACTTTGAGAGTCCCTTTTATGTTGACAACTTTTCCAAAATTATCAGGTTGGTTACCTGCAGGATTTTAAGACTGGTGTGAAAGTCTTTCACGCAGACTAATACTACTGCGTAGTCATCGCATATGTGTGTGCATATGGAACACAGTTTACTGCCAGGATGGTCCTTGTAACTTGCCTCTTCACCCTATCTGTTTTCCTGCTGGGTGTAGCCTACCTCCTTTTTAGTAATAATCACATTTGTTACAGTTCATGCTTTCAAATTTCAGAAGATCGTTCATGCTTTTGTATTTCAGTGGCACAAAGTTGCTCTGTAAAGTCTGCAGGAATATTATAGTGTCTTATGAGCATCCCTTCCTATTTGTCTTCAGAGCAAACAGTAGGTTTTTTTATGTGAAGGTGCAGATAAGGGAGCGTAGTAAGATATTTGAATGAGCACAATTACTTACAGGTTTCCTACATGTTTTACGTAGGGAATAATGGTAGCCTGAATTTGATTGTGAAAGAAGTTAGATGAGTGAAATAACTTAAAGACGACAAAAACGGGAGTATGTAATGCAGACTCTTTTAAACAGTTGATAATTTTGAATGTTGTTCGGAATAACGGTTAACAGTTGGACTTGATGATCTTAAAGGTCTTTTCCAACCTAAACAATTCTATGATTCTATGAATATAACTGTAAAGTATATTTTGTGAAGCTCCCATTAGCATCACAGTTTCAAAGCATAAATTCACTGGCAGATTAACTCAGCCGCTGTTATGACGCTTGCTCTTTTTCAGGTAGTAGACCTACAATTCTATAACATTTCTTTTTTTTATTTGCAGAATTTTGGGGCCGTGGTAGCCATATGTCTCTTTTTTCTGTTAGCATCAATAGTGCTTGCTGCAACTGGCTCTGGGTCTGCTGTTGAAAAAGCTGCATTTGTAAGTCTTAAAATTGCATAATTTCCTTTGTATTTATCTTGTATGTTAATTTCTCTCCCCTCTAAGCCTCACTCAATTTGCAGGGAAGAAACTGGGCAGGGAACAGAATTTAGTACATTGTGGTGTTTCAGGAGGAATTAGCTATTTCAGACCTTCCAGAAACTTACCGCAGGAAATCCAAAAAGCAGGCATTCCTCAGGATTGCCGGAAAGCTCCGCATGCGCTTGCAGCTCTCCAGCATTTGCTGCTTCCTTTTGGGTTCCTCAGACTTCACTGCCTTGGCCCCCTGTTATTCCCTGTCACCTGTCACTGTTTCGACGTTGACCTCTCTCACAGCTTCCCCAGTTCTCTGATACCCTCTCTCTGAAATGCCCGCTTTTTCCCTCAGTTCTCTCTTAATGCCAGCCCTTCACAAAGTCGGCGAGAAACCATGTCTTGCCAGGCATTATAAAGTGTATGTGGAGAATGGTGACTTGCAAAGGCCACAATGAGAGGGAACGGCAGTTTCCTCAGTGACAGAAATAGAACAGCAGGGCATGCATCGCTCAGGGCGGGGCACTGAAGAGGCTTTGGGATGCTGTGGATGTTGTAATTCCTCACTCATTTGGCACTTCTTTAGAATAACCTTCGAATTGTGAATATGTGAGTTTAAAAGATGAAATTTTGATTTTATTCTTGAATGAGAAAATATGAGTTAGAAAAGAAAGCAAAACAATTCTGTTCCACAGGGAGCAGGAGCTGTTAGAGATACACACGTTTGTGTAGCCATCTTCTGTGATGTTGATGTATTCAAACCTAATGGTTTGAGTATGAAGTCTTTCAGGTTTTTTTTTCTGGTGCTGGAAAAACAAAAACTATTGTGATTTAAGACTTACCAGTGTCAAGTTGCTTTGGGGCAGACCAGTTGTGGAAAATTTAGGTAAAAGTTAGAATAACGTACGTATTTCCTTGTTTGAAAGAAGCTGCTGAAACCAACCTTCTCCTTATCGCTCTCATGCCATGAGTAATACTGAGATGTCATTAACAAAATGTCATCTCATCCCCCTTTGCTGACCCAGTAGGGACTTGCCTAGGCTCTGCAGCTCTTATCTCCCTTCACCTTCCATGTGTTACTCCTCTTCACACTCTTCTAATCAGCAGCCATTTCTTGGATAAATACTCTGCTATACCACCAATGCCATGCTTCTTGAATAACTAATTTTTGCAATAAAATGGATATAGTTTTACTACTAAGGGCTGTCCAGAACATATTGTACGGTTCAGGCTTGATTAAAAGAATGAGAACTGTAAAAACTTTTGCATTAAATATGCTAGAATTATGATTTCTCATCTGTTTCTAATTTAAATGGAACCACCGATTTAAGGAGGACTGTAATCTTAATATATTAAGAGTTATTAACATATATAAATAGTCCAGCAAATCTTTCCAGACAATGTTAGAATACTCTTAATGTTGGCACATTTTAAAATGATATTTTCCTTTCACTTTCACAGGTGTTTGGATTTCTTGCATTTGCTGCATTTTTAGCTGAAATTATTGCAGAGTGTTTTTACATTTGGAAACAAAACATCGATGGACGCTCTGAAAATCCTGGCAACACTCAGAGTGCCACAGAAAATCAACCACTGAATAAAGCAAGCTAACTTTCTGGAATTACTTCCCTTTTTTCTTTTTGAATGGAGCAAACTGAAATGAACTTTCAGTGCACTGTAGGTAACAACTTCTCTCTCTTCCTTCTAATCAATTTTGTACGCATTGCTCATCACAAATTTTTATAGATCCTTCAGTCACATAATGGCATCTTGAGCATCATATTCTAAGGTAACTGGTCCTGCTTAATATCTGGTCCTGCCACCTGTCCAGGTGACGTACACTGAAAAAACTTGTGTCTAAATAGAATAACTTAAGGACAAGAGCGTGCTGATTTGATTTTTGACAGAGGTGACTAATAAAGGTTAATGTGTGATAAATAAATTCTGAGCTGTACCCTAAAGATATTTTCTGTATAAATGGACCAGACACTTCTGTTACAAGTTATAAATTAGTACAGCAAAATTCATTCTTGTACTTACTGGTCAAACTGAATGTAAAAGGGACACCTAACTGGAGCCTTACAGGAACACTTATCCTTACATAGGGGGGGTTTGTTTTGTTTTTACTACTCACGTCTCGGTTCTGTCTGTGGAGATCAGTTTAATGGAATAGCGCGTGTAGGGGTTTTATGGAGAGGGTAACGTAACCGTATATTAAGGAGACCGTTTTGCACCCCATGGCCATCAAAGTTTGGACTTGTATGCCAGAATCTTCTTTCGGATTGTTTCAAAAGCTGTAAAAGTTGCAGGAAGAAACTTGAAAAACCAGCAGTGAGAGGAAAAAAATGAAGAATAAATATTTTCACGAAGTAACCCAAAAAGTGGCAATCTGAACATCAAGGGGAAAAAAAGTTACAGCACGTTGGTACTGTCTTGGTGAACATTACCTGTGAGGTTAATACCATATGCAGCTTGTTTATGCGTAGCAAATGCTAAGTTTTGCCAGAATGGTTATGGACCCCACCATTTTCTCTGTTTATAAATACAGCACTGGCTTGAGACTTCTTGCTACTGACTAGGTCAGTTGGTAAACAGGTAAATAAGCACTTGCAGCCTTGATTTGTCTTAAAAGTGACAGGCTGTAGGACTGCAAGAAACACTACTGATGCAACATATATCAGATGAGTGACGGACATATCAGACAAGATGTTGATGGCGGTAAAAGAAATGAAGTGGTGAAAAGGCATTTTTCAGATGTCTGCGGTAGAAGCAAGACTAGCAAGACCGCTAGACTTCACTTAAGAGGAAAGACTTCAAAAGTAGGGCAAATTGCTGTAAGCCTGGAGATGCTCCAAAAGCTCCAAAATACCAAAGTAAATGAGAAAAAGCTGATTATGCAAAAAACAATTCTTGCTTGAGTGCTGATGACATTTGCTGTGTCTTCCAGGCGCTAACTCCATTTCATCAGTACCCTAGTCTGACAAACTTATAGTCCTGTAACCTGTTGTGACAGCATTGAGACTAAGCCCTCCAGAAATTGGCTGAGCAAGCCGCATTTGGAAAAGGATGCGGAGGCTGTTGTAAGACAAAGGGTTGTAAAAGAAGGTCAGAGCTTTTTTCCAGTGCTGCCACTTTCTGATGAATGTGAGTTTGTGATTGCTCTCTCTAAGCTCTGAGACTTAAGCCTAACACTACACTTTCCTTGGAGGATGTAAAATTTTGACAGGTGGTGTGAAGCATCAAATTTAAACTGTAGCTTGGTTTCAGAGCCATGTATAAAAGACATACTCTCTTCCATAGAATTTTCTGCCTTGTGAAGAAATAATACTCTTTGGACTGGCTTTTTCCCCTTGTATTTATTAGTGTCCATTTGCACTAGAACCCGACCTCAGCCTAGGTGTACAGAGCTTGCTGTAGCTGTCTCTGAAAACTGGATAGACTAGAGATGGTTTGTTTACAAGCAGTGTTACTGGTGACTTGCCTTAATGAGGAATGTCTCTTCTCTGATTTGCAGTGTCTTTCTTCGGGGATTGTGTCTGTATCTATTATTAATATTCCAAGAGAATTTTTTTGTTTTTTCATTGCCTGGGAGCCTACTGAATTTGGTTTTACATCAAAATGTTTGTAGTCTCTAAATCTTGATCTACAATTAAAAGCTATAAATATAGTGTAAGGGTAACACTGTGCTGCTGATATTTATTAAGCAATGCAGCACTACGATGAGACTGTTATCATTGGTAATTTTTCTTGTAGTTTTTCTCAGCTTGAATTTACATGAAGGGAGTTCTGGGTTTTGGTTACATTTTCTATAGACTTTCCCCCACCAAAATGCTTTGTTACTGGTGTCCATTCCTGAATTGAAGATACTGGTACTGAAAAGGATCTGTAAAGTCATCTCTCTGCCTTGGCTCCCTATTGATGATACCTACTGCTGATACTTCACAGAGGAACCGAAATACAGAGCAAGTTATCTTTATGACAAGGTGCCACGATGAGTTGGTGTCAGAAGAAGGTGGCTCTGAGAGAGATCTCCTAACTCCCGTGATCTATTAGGCCTTTTGAAGCAAATACTGCCAACCTTTGCAGAATGGTTTGATGGATTCTCCTACTACACATGTGCTGGCATCCCTGGCGTGTTTTGGGTTGTTAGAGTGAGGGGGTTTTGACGTATTCTTCGCTTTCATTTTAGCTGTTCCAAGTAGGTAGTTTATACCCATTCTCTCCCTAACTGACTGATCCCTGTATAGATTTGAGGGTCGGATTCCATCTCTGACTGAAGCAAGGGATGCAAGCGCTGCCGACTGCTAATGGAAACAGCAAATGATAGTCTCTGGGGAAACTGGTAGTTGTTTTCCTATATGTCACAGGAGCTTACAAATAGGAGGAGTCCTGCTTTTCTTTGTAACAATACCTATTGCTCCATTCCAGATACTGTTTAGCTGGCATTAATCTGTCACGTAGTAGTTAAATACTACAAGCACACAAGTCACATATTGGTTATAGGTTTAAGGCGAGCGCTAAATTGTTGCTCCCAAACCAGTTGTTGGCCAACAAGTCAGTTTCTGCGTGGTGGTACTATTAATCCTAGGCTTCCATGTATGAGATGTTCTTTTTGTTCTGTTTTAAGTTAGCTGAGAAGCAGGTTTGCTAGTGTGTATGCTGTTCCCTGCTTCTGTGAGGCCGTTTTCTTAACTGCTTTATCAGCTTCCTGAGATGAAGGGGCAGGGGTGTCCCCCTTCCAGCTCCTCTGCCCTCACAGCCCTGGGGGGGCAGAGACTTGCTTGCTGCCATGGCTGAGCAGACCAGTCTCCTGCAGTCTTGATGTGCCCCCTTTGACGCTTCTGGTGCTGGATTCAGGACTTTGAGTGTCTTGTCTTTTTAATCAGACTGATCCTAGAGAATGGCGTTGGAGATGGATTAAACATCTGGTTTTGCAGGAGCTGTGCGTGCCTGTGGCTGGATGTCTCTTACCCCTCCCGTGCTCTGTCAGCAAAGCCGACTGCTTGTTTCCCAGACTGCTTCTGATGAAATCAGCCTGCTTTATTTAAACCAGCTATTTAAATTGCTTACATTAAGTTGGCTGATTTTAACTGAAGTGGATTAGGGGTTGTTTAGGAGAGCGGTGGGAGCTCTGGCAGAAGCACCGTTACAAGCCTTAAATGTCGTCATCTGTTTGCAAAGTAGCTGTCTCTCTATAATCTTAACTGGTAGTACAACCTGTGGAAAGAAGCAACTGCCCCAGTACGTCTACCTGGACATTGTTTTCTCCCTTCTTCACCACGGTGCTTGGCAGTGGTGCTGCAAGCCTGCTCAGACACATTAAAAGCTTTTGTCTTTCCCACTTGAGCCCGTCAAAAAATACTTAAAGGCTCTGCTCCCACTTTCAGGCTTTGTTTACAGTACCTTGAGAATCAGTGCAGAGGATTCTCCAGGACACGTGAGGACTTGTCATGAAGTGGCTCGACTGTTTCTGCTCTGAAAATCTGAGCATGCATTATGTAGATTGTGAATGTTAATTTTTGTGTTTGGTGTTTAGCCCACATTAAAATCACAGTGCCCTTTGGGTTCTAAATACGTGAAGGAATTGTGCCTCCCTGCTTGCACACTGTGCTTAAAAATAGCAGGGAAGGATTGTGATCTGTTACAATTGAGTTCTACCTTTGCACCCTCCAACTTGAAAAAGCAGTGAGCTATCTCGCACACTTCTCGGAGCTCTGCCCAGTTTTTTGCATAATGGCCATCATGGTGATCCTCCTTCAATTTGTGCAATAAAAATACCAAACTTTCTACACTGAAGGGAAAGAAATACTTTGTGACATTTTTGAAAGGCTATATGTAAAATTGTAATGAATCAAGATGCTGGTGGTGCCTTTAAGATGGGAATTCAACTTTGTTTTAGACTATTGCTGTAAACATAAACAGATCTCTAGATACTAAATTCTGTGCTGTTCAGAGCTATCTATCACTTTTAATACCTTTGAGAATTTAAGTGACTTTTAATGATCATTAAATCAGGATGATAATACAGTATTTTTATACATAAAAAATGAAAAATGTATAGTTTTGTTGCCAGTGTTGCCTTGAATTTCCATTTAAATAATTTTGAAATGCTTAAATATTTTTTCCATTCTAAACCTGTGGTCTTTTTTAATGTATTATGCTTTTTTGGTCTTAGGAACTTTCTAAAATATTTTATAATTTTTAAAATAAAATATTAATAAATAACTTAACTTACAAGTGTTTCTCGTTTCTGCTGCTATGATTTGGTGTCACTTATGTAGTCCTCCCAGAGCCAACCGGAGGAAATAACATCATTCTTTGTTCCTGGTTTGGAGGAAAGAGCTTGCATTGTGTTTGCCTGCTACCAGGGAAGAGGGTCCAGCTCGCAAAGCTGGATATTCTCACCACAGGTTTCCAGGAGGAAGGGTCCGATACAGTCAGTATTGCCTCGTACCACAGGGTCCAACCAAACTTGTGTGCAACAGCCTTTACACCTACCATGGTCTATAGGTTACTGTGACAAGTGTGATTCAAGTGCTGCTTTCCTACTCTCTTGGTTAGTTGGAGCTGAAACAACACGAAGTGGCAGACTTGTTAAAGGGAGGAGCACAAACTAGCAAAAGGTGTTAAAAGCAAGGAATTTCTTCTGGTGTAGAAAAATGCAGGTGACTGAGTTACTTGGTTGAGGGGGAGCTGCTGCATCCTTTAAAAATGTTTGTCTGATTGTCAGTGGTAGGTAGGGGGTGAGGAAAACGAAATAAACCTGCATGCTTTCTGGCAGGGTAGCTTTTTTGTTTCATAATCCTACAGACAGCTTATTACCTGGTGGTGATCTTGTAGGCAGGACGAGAAGGGCACTTTCTTCATTGTCAGCACTGAAACTGGAATGCCGTGGTGTATTTTTCTTTGTATCATAACATTAAAGGTGAAATTGTCCCTTTGGTGAAGTTGCCAGAGATGAGTGTAACCATAAGGATTCATAAGAGAAGAAGGTCTCTAATGCTTTTAATTACATTTGAAAACTAGATGCAAGAAGACAATTGAGGCAAAATGTTACATTAAAAATGTACATCAGTGGTGGATTTACACAGCATGAAACGGTAACTCAGAAGTCCTAAGAAAGATTAATAAATATTTAATAATTTGGAGCATGGCCACCCAGTTTAAGTCCTGTTATTGCTAGAATAATGACAACTCCTCTCGGGAGTGTAATCCAAGTTACCTGACTGTAAATTCTCAGAATAGCACAGCAGGGAGACTATGGGCTGGTAATCTGCGGCTTTCCTCTGTGAGCGCACAGGCACCGCCTGGTCGCTGCTGCCGGTCTGTCCGTTGTTGAAGGCACGTACATATTTCCTTGCTTTTGGGTGGGCTTTCTCCTTAGGGCGAGGAGCAGGACCAGCCACCTGCTGTATCGCACAGCCTCCTTCGTGCTGGTGCGCAGGAACCAAGCAAGGTTAACTAACTGGCTGGGGTTTGGGTTTGACTTCTCTTTGAATTCAGAATTGCCATTCTTTGCCTGCTAAAGGAATCACAAGGCAGGCCAGCAATGCCTTTTTGCATTCTGTTCCTGCCGGCTGCACCGTGCAGTTGTCTGCACAGGAAATCTGCTGAGAAGCTGCAGGAGAGGAATTTGCCCACAAGAGGGCAAAGATGATCCTGTGATTGAAATTACCTCGTTTGGAGGACTTCGCCCTCTTCCCACCTTAATTTTCACTGAAGCCCCCTTGTCCTCTTCTTATGTCAGTGTGGCTATAAATTGAACTGTGTCATTAATGACTGGAAACAGTATCACTATTCTTATTTCTCAAAATGTAGCCAGAAGGTTTTTTGATAATATAATCAGCTCAATGTTGTCTCAAGGAGATACTTTACCTAAGCAGTTGGAAAGAGGTTTATTTCTATTCCTTTTGTTTTGTAAGCTGTCAAGAGATGGTTTTAAAAATTCCTTTTTATTACAAAGTCAAGCCTCGGCTGCATGACTAGATCTGCACCTATAACACTGCATGCACCTTGGAAGATTTCTGTGGTCAGTCCTACACTGTGGTTTTTGATCAAAGTTGTGGGGATCGTGGGTGGGAGAAGAAAGGGATGGGGAATACCTGAGCATTTCCTGGACTCCTGGGAAGTTAAAGAAGCTTATAATTAAAAAAATGCAAATTATGCATGCTGGAAAAATGTCAGGGTCCACAAACAGAAATGCTGGCAATCAACTGTAATACATGCCAGACAGGGCGTCCTGAAATTCTGGTCCTCTCCAGGTACCCCAGTGAAACTTGCTTTGACCAGCCCATGTGTCCTGATCACTCCTTCGGTTTGTTTCTTATGACCTATTATCTCTTGGCTGAATATTAGAACAGGACTGGGAAAATAACACAGACCTGGCTGTTTTGAAGGCGGCAAGTCCTGAGGTGAGAGGCAGGGCCTCAGAAGGAGGCGACAGCATAAGCACATTCTTATGCAGCATGACTCACGTGCAGCCAGCTGAGGACAGCACGCAGCGAATACCCGGTCAGGTATCTGTTGCTGGATGTGCTGCATGAAAGCATGTGGTATTCTGCAGCACAAAGTTTGGGGCGTACTTCAGAACTCTCTTCTTAGTCCTCACTTGGACTTACTGAAAGCGTAACATTGTAAGACAAGAATGTGACAAGTTTTTTAGTACCGTATGCCCTACCCTTGCTTAGAGAATGGTGGAATGTTGCTCAAAATAATGCAAGTCTGTCTGTGCTACAGCCCTCCTTTTAACTGCTTCCTTTGCACCAGCTGTCACTCTTCCAAAAATACCAGTGCAGACACGATTCTGAAATCCCTGTTTGTGTTCAGCTGTAGGTAAGGAAGGAACAGTTAATTAATTGTTCTGTGGTCTCTGCACACCACTGACCAAAGATGTGGAGCTGCTCCCCTCCTGTGAGCAACAAGGCATCCTCAGAAAGGAGGACTGACTCTCACCACCTCTATTTTTATTGTTAACACCCATTTTCACTCTCCTATGCCTGTCTGCTTCATTTCAAAGGTTGCTGATCACCTGTTATTGATACTCCCATGGTTAATGCCCTGCTTCCCATTCCTATCCCTCCAATCTAAACTAAACCTCCCTATCACAACATTCATAGCAACACGAGCTTTGGCTAAAGCTCTGCCTACTAGTTTCTCAAGACAACTGGGATGAAGAGGCTGTGGAGGTCTATCTGAGGGGGGACAATGCAGCTCTACAAACAACTGCCTTGTTAACGTAAGCCTGTCTGTTTTCTGCCTCATAGTCCTCTTGCTCAGAAAGGCTTGTTTTATGAATGAACAAATGTTGTCCTTGACTTGATGCAGTTTTTTTAATTGTAAGCGCTTGTTTCTGGCAATTGTGCCTCTCATTTGAGAGTAACAAGGGCATAATTATTCAGCTCTCATGCATCACAAACTGCTGAGCATGAGGTATTAATGGAGTGCTTTGCTGCCACCATAGCTTAATAGCTACAGCTGCAGCATTGTGCTCTCATTTGGCTGGGGTTCATGAAAAAGGGGGATGCAGATCATTAAGTTTTATGTTAAGAGTGATTTACAGAGTAACAGTAGACTGGGCTAGATGGACAAAGCACTTCGGATCTAAAAGGAGCTATTGTACCAGCAGAGCCGTGATTTGTACTCATGGTGGTACAAAGCCACCCATGCCGGTCCACCTCATACAACCCCAATAATCTCAATAACAAAGTTGTGTTAGTATAAGTGTGTGTGCTGGCAGGGCTGTACTGGGGGAGGGAAGAGGCAATCATACCCTACCATGCCAGCTGGCTAGCAGATGTCATAAAAAGAAACTGCAAATGGATGCTTTTGGCTAGCTACAGGCTTTGAGGTGATACTCAACTCCTACCCTGCCTTCTTCCCGTCCCTTCAGCTATCGCATGAGCTCTGTTAAGTGCTGAGAGGCAAGTGCTGGAATTAAGAGGTGGGTGTTGTCCCAGCTCCCCAGGGGGAAGTCAAAACGGGGTATCATCTCCTCAGCCCTATCCTGTGATGGTCCAGCTGGGAGGCCAAGCTCCCCCGGGAGCTGATGGAGGAAGACGTCTAGAGGGTGAATCAGAGGGGAAGGGTAACTCCTGCCCTGTGAGTCACTGCTGCCATGATTCACTCTTGCCCTTCTCTTTCTTCACTGAATACGCAAGGGAGACTGGCTGGGTATTGAGGCTAGTCCTATGCAAATAGCCTCCAAGACACACTGTGCTTTTCCCTGGGAGAATGGTGTTTACTCTCTTTGGGCTGTAAAAATAGTTGCAGGATGAATGACGTCTCTCATTTCCTAGTCTGTCCTTGTAGTCTGAATGGTTAGGTGCCTCTAAGTCTACACCTGTAGAGTTCCTCCCCCCACCCCCCAGGTTTCTAGAGTCTTGCTGCAATTCCTCCTATGCCAAGAAGGCTGCTTGGCTCCTGTTGCTCTTCTTGCACAAGTGCAAACATGTAAGAAAAGAGCAAGTGGTTCAGACGTAACTTAATTTTGCAATGACTCCATGTTAGTGGCTTTGGGATAT